CTTGGGGCCCTCTTGGGCTGTCCTGGGGCCCTCTTGGAAGCTTCTTGGGCCGTCTTGGGGCGGTCTTGGGCGCCTCTTGGGCCGTCTTGGACGCGGTGAAAGCCCAAGAGGCGAACATGCGAAAAATATACGTTTTCCCATAGGAATGGCACGATTTTTGCTTCTTGGGCCTCTCTTGGGCTGCCTCTCGGAGCGTCTTGGAGGCTTCTGGGACCTTCTTGGTGTCATGACAGGCGTCTTGGAAGGCATCTGGAGCCATCGGAGCGCGTTCCGAAGCCGCCTGCGAACGATCTTGGACGGCGTCCGGCGGTCCGACGAGCCTCCGGGCCCCCCGGGGCCCACATTTGTGGTCGGGGTCCCGGCCCCGGGCCCCCGGACCCGGTGCGCCGTTATATGTGTACAACAACAAAAACAACAACAAAAACAAAAACAACGACAACAACAACAACAACAACAACAACAACAACAACAACAACAACAACAACAACAACAACAACAACAACAACATCAACAACAACATCAACAACAACAACAACAACAACAACAACAACAACAACAACAACAACAAATATTCCTCTTCCTATATTCCCTACCTAGACTCTGCCTAGAAGGGTTCTTACTCGGTTTGCTTGAAGGGCCGGGCAGAGGGGCACGCCCCGGGCGGTTCCCCCAGCATCCCCTGGGAGCGGTTCCCCCAGTCCCCTGGGAGCTTTAGCTTTAGCTTTAGCTTTAGCTTTAGCGTTAGCGTTAGTTTAGCTGTAGCTTAGCTTTAGCTTAGCTTTAGCTTAGCTTTAGCTTAGCTCTAGCTTAGCTTTAGCTTAGCTTTAGCTTAGCTTTAGCTTAGCTTGAGCTTAGCTTTAGCTTAGCTTCAGTTTAGCTGTAGATTTGCTTTACCTTAGCTTTACCTTAGCATTACCTTAGCTTTACCTTAGATGTACCTTAGCTTTAGCTTAGCTGTAGCTTAGCTGTAGCTTAGCTTTAGTTTAGCTTTAGCTTAGCGTTAGCTTAGCGTTAGCTTAGCGTCAGCTTAGCGTTAGCTTAGGTTTAGCTTAGGTTTAGCTTAGCGTTAGCTTAGCTTTAGCTTAGCTGTAGTTTAGTTGTAGCTTTAGCTTTGGCTTAGCTTTAGCTTAGCTTTAGCTTAGCGTTAGCTTAGCGTTAGCTTAACTTTAGCTTAGCTTTAGCTTAAATTTAGCTCAGCTTTAGCTTAGTTTTAGCTTAGCTTTACTGTTACTACTAATGCTGCTTTCCTAGGGGCTCCAACTCCTAGGTAGGGTCGCACTGGGATAATTTCTATAAGCCCGGGCGGGGGGGGGAAACCCGTCACCCCCCCCCCCCAAAAAAAAAACGGACTCCCAGGATCTGGGATTTTGGGACCCTCCGGACGGGCCTCGAAGCGGCCACCGCGCTTCGCAGGGCGTTTTGCCAAGCCTTCCTAGCACACCTAGGGCGATCAGGGGGTCATCCGAGACGTCCCAGAGACCCCCAAGACAGCACAAGAGCGCTCCAAAAGTGACCGACTTGACCTCAAGATGGCCCAAGAGGCCTCCAAGACGGCCCCAAAGAGGCCTCCAAGAGCACTCCCAAGAAGGCCCCACGAGGCAAAAATCATGATTTTCTATCGGTTTTTGGTGAATTTGGGGGTTCTCCTCTTTTCGGCTTCCCGACTCTCCAAGATGTCGGTCTTCTGGGCGTCCGAAGCCGCCTGGAGGCTCCAAAATCGCCCCACAACCATCCGAAAGGGCTTCCAGGCAGTCCAAGAGAGCCCCAAAACGGCACAACACGGGTCCAAGATGGCCCTCAGAGAGCCCCATGGCGGCCCAAGATGACCCAAAGACACCCTCCGAAGAATTCCAAATCGTGATTCGGTCGATCAGGGAGACCGCGGTTGGAGGCAGGGTGGCCCGAGGAAGCCCCTGGAGGCCCCCAGAATACGCCCAGGAGGCCTCCAGAAGGCCTTAAGAAAGCCTGAAACAACTTTTGTGAGACCCCTAGAGGCTCTCCAAGGAGAAGCCTCCGCAAGAAAGAGCTGAGGAGGATGGGGAGAATGCGCAGGGAATAGCGAAAATAAGGAAAAATAACCATGGAGGAAGGATAACGAATAACATTATTATAGCGGCGATGCCGGAAAAGGCAACCAGGAGTTATCGCTAAATTGTCGGCTTGACCTGCCTGCTATTCCGCCTGCATACCAAACTTCAAGGACCAAGGTGCAGGGCGCGAAGCGCCACTGCAGTCTTGTGGAACGGAGAGCCCCCCTACCGGGAAATCGATTTCGGTTTCGTGTTCGTGCGTGCCGTGCGTGCGGGCGAGGCGAAGCTGCGTGGGCGGGCGAGAAGAAAGTCTCCTGTGGCTGAGGCGCGGCCGGACCAAATGACTCCCTTCCGGCAACCGGTGGCCCGCGGTGTCCCGCCGGTGTCCCGCTGTGGCTGAGGCGCGACCGGACCAAATGACTCCCTTCCGGCGTCCGGTGGCCCGCGGTGTCCCGCCCGGTCCCACAGGTGTCCCGTCGGTGTCCCGATGATGATGATGATGATGATGATGATGATGATGATGATGTTGATGTTGATGATGATGATGATGATGATGTCGATGACGTTGATGATGATGATGATGGTGATGGTGATGGTGATGGTGGTGATGATGATGGTGTCCCGATGATGATGATAATGATGATGATGATGATCATCATCATCATCATGGTGATGGTGAAGGTGATGTTGATGATGATGATGGTGATGGTGGTGATGATGATGGTGTCCCGATGATGGTGATGATGATGATGTTGATGATCCTGATGAGATGAGGATGATGATGAGATGAGATGATGATGATGATGAAGATGCTGATGATGGTGTCCCGATGATGGTGATGATGAGGTTGATGATGATGATGTTGATGATGATGGTGATGATGATGGTGTCCCGATGCTGATGATGATGTTGATGATGAGGATGAGGATGAGATGATGATGATTTTGATGATGGGGGCCCGATGATGGTGATGATGCCGATGTTGATGATGATGGTGGTGTCCCGATGATGATGATGAGGTTGATGATGATGATGTTGATGATGATGACGATGATAGTGCCCCGACGATGATGATGCTGATGATGGTGATGATGAGGTGTTGATGATGATTTTGATGAGTGGGGCCCGATGATGGTGATGATGATGATGCTGATGTTGATGATGATGGTGTCCCGATGATGATGATGATGATGATGATGACGAAGATGGTGATGATGATGGTGACGATGATGATGCTGATGATGATGATGATGGTGATGATGTTGATGATGATGATGGTGTCCCGATGATGGTGATAATGATGTTGATGATGTTGTGCATGATGATAATGATGAGATGATGATGGTGGTGCTCCGGTGATGATGGTGTCCCGATGATGATGATGTAGATGATGATGATGGTGACGAAGATGGTGTCCCGATGATGATGATGATGATGATGATGATGATGATGATGGCGATGATGATGGTGATGTTGATGGTGATGGCGCTGAGGTGATGATGATGGTGGTGTCCCGATGATGATGATGATGATGATGATGATGATGATGATGATGTTGATGACGTTGATGACGATGATGTTGTTGATGATGATGACGACGATGATGATGATGACGTTGATTGTGAGATCGATTGTGATATCGATAGTGAGATCGATAGTGAGACGGAATGTGAGGTCGATTGTCGGATCGATAGTGAGATCGATACTGAGATCGACTGTGAGATCGATAGTCAAATCGATTGTGAGATCGATCGAATGAAGTAGATCGAATGAGATCGATTGTGTGATCGATCAAGTGAGATCGATCGAGCGAGACCGATAGTGAGATCGATAGTGAGATCGACAGTGAGACCGATCGAGTGAGACGTTGGTTCCTCCCCCCCCCGAAGCTCCTTATCACCCGAAGGGTGGTCGTATAGGTATATATATATATATATATATATATATATATGAATACAACCGTATATATATATATTGCTTACAAAAAAATCCGAAACTGAGAGAGGCGGGCGCCAAGGCGCGAGCCCGTAGGATCGGTCCACCAGCGCACTCGCCTCCAGCTCGAAGCCGCCGTGCGGCACGTGGAGCGCCCCGGGAATGCTGTCCGCGGCGAGCGCGTCGCCCCCGAGGTCTATTACCTGGCACTGGGCGGCTGGGAGGCTGGCGGATCGAGGCCTCCTCCTCCTCGGCCTCCTCCTCCTTCTCCTCCTCCTCCTCCTCCTCCTCCTCCGCTTGCCCTCCTCCTCCTCCTCCTCCTCCGCCTCCGCCTCCGCCTCCTCCTCCACCTCCTCCTCCTCCGCCTCCTCCCCCCTCCTCCTCCTCCTCCTCCTCCTTCCTCCTCCTCCTCCCTCCTCCTCCTAGGATCCGAGAGTCCAGAGTGCGAGGAGGATCGAGGATCCGAGGCTCTTTAGCATCCCTGGCCCTTCCTGGGCCTCCAAAAGCTTCCAAGGAGGCTTCGGGAGGCCTCTGGGGGTCGCCAGGAAAGTCTCCAGAGGCCCCCGGGGACCTTCCGAAACCTCGGGGCCCGTTCCTCCTCCACCCCTTTCCTTATCCGCCACCGTGCCCTGAGGCAAGAGTTGGAGTGTCCTTGGCGGCGCGCACAATGGGGTTGGGGGGGGGGGAAGGCGTCTTAGAAGGAGGCCGCGCCTTACGCTCCTTAGAAGGCGCCAGCCCTACATTTACAGATATGGCCAGCCCCTTCTAAGAAGCAGGGGCGCTTCTAACAAGCATTCCACCCTCACCCTACAGAACGTTTTCTTATTCGGCGTTTCGACATTGGGCGGAAGGGGGGGGGGAGGGGGGGGGTCTGGCTCCTGACCTCTGCTTAATGCGACTGTTTGCAACAGTGCGTCCCATGGGGGAGACTCCACCTGCTTGAAACAGGAACCAAAAACAGTCAAGATCTATCCCATGGAGGGGGGGTAGGAAGGGGGTGCGAGCCCGCGCCGATCGGCAGAACAACGAATGAGAAAACGACGACCTAGCACCAGCGGCCCGCGCTGGAGTGCCCTCCTGCCCTTCGAGTCCTCCGCCCTCGGTCCTGAGAACTCTTCCAGTTTGGACGCCCGAAATGGGCACGGAAACAGTGGGCACAATGCCCAACAGCAAATGCTGTCCCGAACCAACAGCGGCCGCTGTTGGGCAGGCGGCCTTCTGTCTCGAATGGGCACAGGCCGCGGCGGCGCGGACAGCGAGTCCTGTTCAAAATGAACAGGAACTGCTGTTGGGCATCGTACCCATTCTTTCCGTGCCCATCTCGCTCGTGCAGATCCAGGGGTCCACAGCCCCGAATTTCCCCGGCGCTCCCGGGGCGCGGCAGGGCGCGGCCACACGTTCCCGCTCTTGCTCGGAACCGAGAGGGCCCCAAGATAGAAACGTCCCAGATGGGGTCGGAGCAGAAGGGGTCGGAGGATCGCGCCGTATCGTCGATGCATCACCGATGCATCGGCGATGCATCGTCGATGCATCGGCGACGTCGGCGCGATGCATCGGCGACGTCGGCGTGTAGAAAATCGGGCTCCACATCGAGCTGCATCGCTGATGCATCGGCGATGCGGCGCGATCCTCCGACCCCGACTACCCCGACCCCATCTAGGAGGCTTGGACAAGAGGGCCCCTGAGACAGGGGTCGGCCTGACCAGTGTTTTTCGTTTGCGTTTTGTTTTCGTTGTCCGTCGTTTTGTTTTCAATCCGCCTTTGCTGCACAACGAGATCGGAACGAAAACGGCCCACGAGATCGCCAAAACACCGTTTGGGTCGACCCCTGCCCTGAGAGGCCCCCAAGAAGGCACCATGTTCCGGCGAGATAACCCGCGGCACACGCCACGGAACTTTTTGGCGGGATGCAAATGGGGGGATAAGTCCAGATGGGGAGAGAGGCGCAACCGAGGTACAGATTGCACCTACGCCCCACGGAGGAAGTACAATTTGTACCGACGCCACGCAGACAAGGTACAATTTGTACTTCTGACAACGCCCGCGACGTGTGCGAGGATGTTAACGGGGGGGGAGAAGGTACAATTTGTACAAGGTACAATTTGTACTTGCAACCCCCATGTCCTGATCCCCCCATCGCAGTCCGGCCGAAGACTTTGCAGGGCTGTCAGCCGTCGACTGCCGGCGGCTCGCAGCGCCACAGCTCGTGCGCGCGACCACGGCAGAGTCTGGGCGGTCGCTCTCCAAAGGGGTGAAGGGCCGGACTCGGCGGCGCGCACGAGGGGGTAGGGGGGGGGAAATGCGTCTCAGAAGGAGGCTGCTTCTTGGAAGGCGCCCCCCCTACATCTACAGATACGGCCCACGCCTTCTAAGAAGCAGGGGTGTTTCTAAGAAGCCTTCTCCCCTCCAAAAATGAGGCAATTTAGATGCTGTTATGCCTCCTCTCTGGGAGTTGTCTGGAAGACCTCCCGCCCCCTCCGCGTGCAGATTGATATACACACACAGAAGTTCAAAAGTCATGTTCTTATGGTTTTAAAACCTCAATTGCTCTCGTGTTTCAGAATGGTGTTCCCGCTGATGCGTGGGCCTCATTTTCAGGTCGCCGCGTTGCTCCCGTCGTTCAGAATGGCGCTTTCGCCCCAGCGCGGCCCGCTTTTCTGGATCCGAGTCTTGCTTCATTGTGGTGCCCCTCGCGTTTCTCCTCCTCCGCCTTCCCCTGGTCCTCTGGTTCCCCCCCTCTCCTTCCATTCCAGCTCCTACTGCTGATGTCCGTCTCGCCCCAGGTCGGGCCACTTTTCTGAATCAGACTCTTTGGTCGTCGTTGTCACCCCTGTCATTTCCCCTCCTCCGCCTTCCTCTGGTCCGCCTCTCCTTCCCGAGCTGTCAGATTTAGTTCCTGCTGCTGCTGTTCGTCATCATCCTTTTCTTGCCGATCATCCTCCTGTCCGCCCGCCACCTCCTGGCACCTGTGCGCGCAGCTCCTCTTGTTTCCGATCGTGCATACCACTAGGTGGTCTTTCTGTGCAGGTCGCAGGACAGGTCGGCCATGCCACGCGTCCGAGGATGGAGGAAAATCAGCGCCATGGGAAGGGATAGGAAGGAGGGACAGCATGTCGGATTTGGCGCGAACGCACCTGGCTTTCACGACCCCCCTCTCTGCGAGTGGGTGGCTGTGGTTCACCCCGTCTGAACAATATGTTGGTTGGCACAACCAACCACACACACAAACACACCCACACAAACACACCCACACACACACACACACACACACACACACACACACACACGCACACGCACACGCACACGCACACGCACACGCACACGCACACGCACTCGCACACGCACACGCACACGCACACGCACACGCACACGCACACGCACACGCACACACACACACACACACACACACACACACACACACACACACACGCACGCACGCACACGCACAAGCACAAGCACAAGCACAAGCACAAGCACAAGCACAAGCACAAGCACAAGCACAAGCACAAGCACAAGCACGCACGCACGCACGCGC